TATACTTTAATATCTAAAAAAAGGAAATCAAAGAAGATTCAGCATTTTTGGGTATAAAACTCAAAAAAAAATCTTTTCGCAGATTCCCTTAATAGCGCCGTTTGGCGTATATCAATGTCTATATAAAAAGTTAATTAAGTAAAATTTGAAATAGGTTTTTGTAATTAGCTTTGTATATATATATATATATATATATATATATATATATATATATATATATATATATATATATATATATATATATATATATATATATATATATATATATATATATATATATATATATATATATATATATATATATATATATATATATATATATATATATATATATATATATATATATATATATATATATATATATATATATATATATATATATATATATATATATATATATATATATATATATATATATATATATATATATATATACATATACACATACACAAACACACACACACACATATATATATATATATATATATATATATATATATATATATATATATATATATATATATATATATATATATATATATATGTATATATACATTTTATTTATTTATTTTTTTTATTATTATTATTTTTTTTTTTTTACTTTTATTTTTTTTTTTTTTTACTTTTATTTTTTTTTTACAAACTAAGAATATGCAGCTTTGCTTGCCGTTTAAATGACGATATTCCATTTATGTCTTTTAATTTTTGATTTTTCAAGTTTTTCCATATTTTAGGACCCTGTGACATAATTGAAAATTCAGAACCCTGGGTTTTAGTTTTTTTAATATAATAGTTATGGAAGCTATTTGATCGTAGATTATAACTTTGAGAAAATGATGACGAGAATATGTCTAAAATTAGAATTAGATAGATTTTGGTAGCATATTATTTTTATATTTGAACATAAAAATAAGAATCTGATATAAATTAGGTTTTCCCAAGTTTAAGACTTTCATATTTTTCATCGCAATGGAAGGATTGTCCATTCTACCTAAATAATGAATTGCTTTACAAGCATGGTTTTGCAAGCTTTGTAATTTGATTAATTTTGTTTTGTGGGTATTAGCCCACACTATATTAGCATATGTGAGATGACTGTGAATTAGACTAAAGTAAAGTTTTTTTCTTGAACAGAAATCAAGAAACAGGCGACATTTATATAAAATACCTATTGCAGATGATATTTTTATTTCAATGTGTCCAATATGATTTCTCCATAATAAATTTTCATCAAAACGAACACCAAGAAACTTTGCATATTTTTCCCGTTTTATTGTTATGTTGTTAATGAGCAATTCTGGAATTTTTAACGGTAGAGACATTGATTGACCTGTTTTATGAAATAAGATGTAGTTGGTTTTTTTCACAGTTTAAGGATAGTTTATTTGCTCTAAACCATAAATTAAAGTTTTCCAGTTCAGTATTCATTGTTTTAAACATCGATTTTAAATTACTATGATTATAAAATAAAGTTGTGTCATCAGCATACATTATTGAAGATACTATAGATGATGCTTTATGCATATGATTGATGTAAATTAAAAACAATAATGGTCCTAAGATTGAGCCTTGAGGAACCCCACACTCAATATCAAAAACACTTGAGTCTTTGTTTATTACAAACTGCTTTCTGTTACTCAGATTTTTACCCATTTATACATTTTGCATTAGTCCTTTGATACCATAATGTTTTAATTTTGATAGTAAGATGTTGTGGTCAACTTTATCAAATGCCTTTGTAAGGTCTATAAATACTCCCAATACATTATCCCCTTTATCAAAAAATTGAAATATTTTATTAGTAAGTTCAATGATAGCATGTTCTGTTGAGCATCTTTTTTGAAAACCAAATTGATTTTCATATAAAAGTTTGTTTAACTTCAAGTAATTGTAAATTCGATTGTATATTACTTTTTCATAAACTTTAGAGAACACTGGTAAGAGGGATATTGGACGGTAGTTAGACATATTATTACAATCTCCATTTTTATAAACAGGAATTTTTTTTTTTTATTGTTTATTTTGCCGTTTAATAATATACAGTTTCAAAGCATATAAATAAAAATAAATATTGGCGGGGCAAGAAGACTTATTTAGCCTTATCACCAAGCCCCAATTGACTTAAGCAATTTTTAACATATCAGGAAAAGTACTGTGTTCAAAAGAAGACGATATTAGATGAAATAAGGGTTTTCTAATACATTCAGTGACGTGTATTGCTACATTACTAGTAATGTCATCATATCCGCATGACTTATTTCGCTTTAGTTTAGTCAGAGCTTTTTTAAATTCTTTTTAGGATATTTTTTCGTTTGATATACACGATAGGGGTTTTTTTCCAATAAATTCATCAAACTTCTTATTTGGCATCACTATTTTTGAAGCTAGAATGGGACCAAGATTTACAAAGTGTTTGTTAAGTTCATGGTAAATATCTGATTTATTTGTAATGTATTTATTATCACAAAATATTTTTTGAGGTATCCTAAAGGATTTCTTTTTTTCTCTGCCAGTTACTTCATTTATAATCAACCATGTTATTTTTATGTCTAATTTATTTTTATTTAGCAGATTAGAATAATACATTATTTTAGCTTGTCTAATATTTTTTTGAAAAACTGCTTGAATATGAAATATCTTGACGTGGTTTTATATCTTTTGAGCAACCAGCATTTAAGATGGATGTCATTCTCAGATATTGTAAAGTCAACATTACTTATATTTAGCGCTGTACTTTCCACAGCACAGTCTTGTTTCGGAGGTGGTCTATCTGTGGTATAGGCTGGCATAAAATCGTGTTCACCAAAAATGTTAACATTTAGTAGGTAAATTCCTGTTTTTGTAAAACCAGCCTTGATATTATTAGGGCTACATGCTAATGGAAATGAGTTACCCACAATACTTGGTATACTGTAAATAGACACTGTGGAACCAGGGTGCATTGTCATCCACACATCGCAAGCTGTGTTTGTGTATTTTTTAAAAGGTCCAAATACACTTCGATCTAGAGGTTGAAGTTTATGGAGTGTGTGTGTGTTAAAGAACATAGCAGTTATGTTTTATAACTGTGTGTGTAAGTGTGTCTCTGTGTGTGTGTGTTTGCACACACATACAGACACTCACACACACACACATTACACTATGTGTTAAAGAACATAGCAGTTATATTTTATAACTGTGTATGTGTGTGTGTAAACACACACATATTAGTATTAGTATGTGTTATAACACACACACGCATATATATATATATATATATATATATATATATATATATATATATATATATATATTTGTGTGTGTGTGTGTGTGTGTGTGTGTGTGTGTGTGTGTGTGTGTGTTATAACACACACACGCATATATATATATATATATATATATATATATATATATATATATATATATATATATATATATATACATATATATATATATATATATATATATATATGTATATATATATATATATATATATATATATATATATATATATATATATATATATATATATATATATATATATATGTATATATATATATATATATATATATATATATGTGTGTGTGTGTGTGTTATAACACACACACATATATATATATATATATATATATATATATATATATATATATATATATATATATATATATATATATATATATATATATATATATATATATATGTATATATATATATATGTGTGTATATAACACATACTAATATATATTAGTATGTGTTATAAACACACACACACATTGCATTAGTAGTGTTATAACACATATTAATACACAGTTATAAAATATAACTTGTATGTTTTTTAAGATCATTGAGCACTCTATTTGTAAATAATAACACTAACATAATTTTTATATACAATATATACATATATATATATATATATATATATATATATATATATATATATATATATATATATATATATATATACTGACCTAATCGATTTTTGAAAAAATAAATCAAAAGTTATAGAAAAAGTTGAAATTTATGTCCAATCGCAACCGGGTTTAGTTGATATATACAGCCAACTTGCCCCGCCAAAATTTTGCCAACTAACCCCGACAGTTATTTGGTCACAAACTCCCCTACTGATCCCTGAAAAACGTATATAAATAAAAAAATAATAGTTAGACAGATTTTACCGAACCATGCAAGATATAACTCAAATCAAGTTTTTGTGTACTTGATGAAATTGCTTTTAAAAACCGAAAAAATAAAGAAGTTATAAAAGTTACAAAAATGTGGAAAAAACACATAAATCACAATATCTTTTATGCGCACGCGCAAATCCCCACAATACTATAGTGAAAGATGAAATGGTCAACTAAGAAGGTTTCCTGATATTATTGGCACTTTTTGATGAAAAACTTTGCAGATAAACGCAATTTGTCAACTTACCCCTGCTGCCAACTAGCCCCGGTCTTCCCTATAGAAAAAAAAAGACGTTCTATATACTTACTCTAACTGTTTGAATAGCAAGTTGAACTATAGGAAGCCCTATGAATCACTTGACCGCAAAAATCAAAAACAAAAAACAAAGTAAAAAAAATTAGAAATTTGCAACAAAACTTTTAAGTAAGAATTGGTTGAAAATGTTCAAAATGTTAAAACACCCATATCCTTGGAATTAAATAAGCTACCATGGAGCTTGGTATAAAAAATTTTAAGGAATGAAACTCATTAAAATAGCTTCAAATCTCCTAAAATGTTGTCTAAACTTCCTTCAACAATGCCAAATTTATTGTCAAGACTGTTAGTATCCCTTTGTGAGATTCAAGTTGATACAAGTGAAATACAAGAAAGAAATCAATAATTGATTTGGCCTTAAAAAATTTGGCCTATAAAATCTTAGCATTATTCCATCTCTAATATTTTAAGAAAAGCGTTGTATTTTTTTATTTACATTTTTTATTTTTTTATTTATTTTGAGAAAATTTTGTTATTTATGATTTTTACTACGTTTATCGTTAAAAAAATGAAAAATATCACTAGAAAATAAATCAGTATAAAACTTTAAAACGAACATGTAGTAAAATTATTTGATTAAAAATGGCGCAGTAATGAGTAAAACTTGTTCATCTTTAATAAACTTTGCTTTTGATGTATTTACGTCAATACTTAAAGGTAAATCTAAATGAAGCTCATATTTTCCAGTCACCACTAACAACAGTTCATCCTAAAAAAAAAGCTTTGTACAAATAAATAATGTATATAGCCTATTTAGAAATTACCAAAAATTTAGATAACTTACTTGACGTTAAAATGTGTTTCTTACCTCAGTTAACTCAAGAATGCACTCGTTTACACTATCTACACCTGGCAGTTCTATAGTGAAACAAATTTGCTTGGATATTTTATTAACATCCATTTCTGCTTTTGGTGTCGCAAGAACATTTTTTTGGGAGCATGTTTGGGAAGAAACTTTGGATGAAATTTCTTTGACAGCAAAAGAATTATTAGTGTTGTTTGTTGTAGATATTATAGAGCCAAGGTTTGTCTTATTTATTGTTTCTTGATTGGATTGTCGAATCTTATCTTGATCCAACATAGAATCAACTTTTTTTATAGAATCGCGTAACGTGGGGCACATAAAATTCAAGAGATTATCTTCATTTCCAATGTATTTTACATTGAGTATTGTATAATTTTTTGATAACTTTAAAGAAAATTTTGACTCAACGTATAATAGAGATGCTTGGAGTATCTCAGAAACATCTGTGTAAAAAGGTCCGTTTTTTTCAAATAAGATAGGATTAACCGCAATATCGATCAAGTTAGCCCATTCTTTATCAATCAGTTCTTTACGCTGTTCAGAAATAATCATAGGAATCGGGCTACAAGTATTTTCAGGCTGTGGGACTTGAGTCCAATTTGCTACATTTATAAAATATTTTCTAGAAGGAATAACAGGAGGTATCTATAAAAATGTGGGAAATAATACAATAACATAATTTTCACAGGAAATCAGTAAAAATGGTTATGACAAAAAGTTTACAGTATAGAAAAAAAAAAAGACGTTCTATATACTTACTCTAACTGTTTGAATAGCAAGATGAGCTATAGGAGGCCCCATGTTTTGTTCTTTGCCTTCTTTTAATACACCGTCAATAAATTTTTTGTATGCAACAGGATTTGAAACATACATGTTATCTAAAAACTTCCAAATCGTACTTGCATCACCCAAAACATTAGGATCCCCCATCCTTATATTTGAGTCTAGAATTTATTAATACAATTCTATAAACAAAAATAAATTACCATTCAGTTTTTGTCTTCATTATAAATAGAAGTCAGAGAATATTATTAACATTTATATATTATTAACAGAGAATATTATTAACATATTAACAAAATAACGTTACATAAAAAGATTATATTAGAAATATCACCTGAAAAATATAACGTAGAAAGATTAAATTACTATTACTACCTATAAAAATATAACTTTATTAAAGACTTATAAACGATCAAAACTTATTGAAATTTTGTAATATAAAAAAATAGGATTTAGTGTAATTAAATCTTGTAGCAAAAATGTTATAATTTTTTGTTATAAATATAAATATATACAATATCATTTTATTACTGGAAATAAAAAGATTTTTCATAAAATAAATAATAAAATCACTATTTTTATATTAACATATACAGGAAAAAATATATTATTACATTTTAATATGAAAATACTCTGTACTTGAAATCACGTGATCAATCAAAAATTTATTGCTGTTTATTGATTTAGCAAAGCAAACAAAAAAGTGAAAGTATAAAAAAACAGAAAAATGATTTAAAATTTATTTTTGACTACCATTATTAATTGAAAAAAAACTACAAGATTATGAAAACTAAAAAATTACTAGCATTAAACCATATTTGATAAAGACATTGCTGGCCTATCAATGCGTCTAGCTACTTCCGTAACGTACTTATCTGGAACACCAGCTTCTCTAAGTTCTTTTAATTTCCTTCTTTTAATTTCATCTAATTTTTGTCTTCTTTCTTTAGCTTCGTTATCTAGCTTAATACCTTCTTGAAAAAATGACTGTCGCTCCATAATTCTTTGCTTTTCTTTTTCTTTGATTTGATAGCGTACATTATCAGCATACAGTGCTCGTTTTTGCAAAAACTCCTGACTATATTCTTCATCCTTTTGGGCTTGCATTCGCTGAGCTCTTAAAAAAGATTATAAATATTTTACGCTTAAATATAAATATACCGAAATATTTACAAAAATGATTAAAATAGTAAACATACTGTAAGCTTCTTTCGAATTCTGCCCTATCTCTTGCGGCCTGAACAGCCAACAAATGATCTCTGTTGGAAATTTGTTCTTCTCTGGCTTGGTGTAACTTTTTTTCAGCTTCTGCTCTGTTAACAAACAAACATATTATTTGGATTAATAAAATGTTTAAAAATATATATTTATCTATTTATTTACATATTTAACTGATAAGTTTATAAGGTTTTCAGTTACGTTAAAACTTAAAAGCATTATTTTAAACTAAAAATATAAAATGGCGCACTTTTTGCTTTATTATAACAAACTTTCATTTTCAAAAGATAAAAAAAATCTCACTTTTTTATAGCACTTTCCCTTTCTTTTTTTCTCCATTCACGCTCAATTTCTTCTTGATTTCTTTTAGCCCGTAGCGCTTCCTATAATGATAAAAAATTTAAAATTGATCGAAATTCATCGATCATATTTTGATCATTTATTTGTTATAAACATGTATCATTGAAAATTGATCGAAATTAATCGATCATATTGAGAGATTGATGACATAGATTATATTGAGAGATTGATGTTATGTATGAAAATGGTTAGCCTTATGTAGGCAAACTGTTTTGAGGTAAGAATATTTAATAATATTTATTTAATAGAATAAATTTATTTGTTATTTTGATGCGACTAAATTATACTTAATGACAAAATCTTTCAACAAAAATTATATCATTTTAGAAATAAAATCATTTTCAGCAAATATTGATTTTTCAAAAACAAAACTGGAAAGGCAAAAAGGTGATTGCAAGATGAAGTTCTCCTGAAACATGGTTTGTAAGCAAGGCCACCATCCAGTTCTCATCAGCAAAATTGGCTATGAACAGTGCCCTCTGCCCTCTTCATATACCAGCTTGAGGAACACATTATTAATAAAGCAGTGCTAACAGCACAATTTAAAATATCAATACGATTTAGAACAGCCTGAGGTTGGCTATGGTAGCCAATCTCAAATCTATAGCTTAGCTTTTACTGATTTGGACCTCTGAAGATAATAACCATGTGTGGCACAGACTTAAGCAGTCCTGAAAAGTTTTTAGCCCATAGAACATTTTGTTTCCTCAAAATATTTTTAATATTGCCTGAAAAAAAAGAGGCCAAAAATATCCAGAAGCACAACAATCAGATGCTTGTCACCAAAACTTGAAAGATTAAATGGACAAGTTGCTGCCAATGATAGTGTTGCATTGCTCTTATCTAGGAATACAACAAAACTCTTACCAAAAAAAAAAAGAGTCAAAAACAGATTCTGTCTCAATTTGTCTTGCAATATCACAAGATTTACTAATTGTCCTCTAAAGCATTATACAAAAATATCAAATGAACGTTTTTGACTGTATACTTAAAAAGTCAACTAACCCAAAATATTGTCATCCAAACTTAAAATATTGTCATAAATCTGCTATTATTATAAAACTGTAAAATTTAAAAGGGTAAAACAAATCTTGTTTTTATGGTCATTCTTTTTTTTACATTTAAACCATTTTTAAATAAAGTTACTTTGATCTGATACTAATAAAGTTTTGTTTCAACTTTATTAAAACAGATTTTTTGATTTGTTATTTTTATTAAATTATTAATAAAAACAACTTTTTACCTTTTCATTGTGTTTATCTTTAGCATTCTCTTGCTGTTTTCTTAGACGAGCAATTTCCTTTTCTTTCTCAAACTGTAACACTTTTTTTTCTACTTCAAACATTTCTTCTCTCATCTAAAACACAATATATAATGATACTAATAATAAATAATAAAAAAATAGATGAATCTAAAATGCAATATAAAAAAATACAATATAATAGCCAAAATGTTTTGTTACAACTCTAGGACATTTGTACAGAGTATAAACTAATTTTAACTATAAAAAATAATTATGATAAAAATTATAACAAAAATAATATTTTAATTATGCTTACATAAAAATAAAAAATTTAAAAATATAATAACAAAATAACTAAAATAAACACTAATTTTCAGAAAACATTTGAATATACACTTAGCAGTTTCAAACAGTCATTAACAAAACTTAAAACTTACAATTATATTATTACAACTATTGTAATAATAATAAATGTAATGAATTTAAAATTCCCAGTATTTATAATAATGATATAATTAATATTTAGGAAACTGAATTGCTACAAAAAACAAAACAGTAGCAATTAACATAAAGTTTGATTAAATTAAAAATTCTAAACATTTCAACAAAAAAAAAATAATAATTGTGATGTAGCAAGTAAAATAAAGCAGATTTAATCAAGTTACAAAAAAAAAAACATAAGTAGTATATAACAACCACATATGAAATAGAAAACTATAAGACAGGATTGAAAATCAAAAGATGTTTACAAAAACAAAAACAAAAACCTCTTTTTCTTTAAGATACTCAGTGACTTTTTTATCTTCTAATTGTTCGAGTTGTTTTTGCCTCTCTTTGATTTGTTTTGTATCCTTCACAAAAAATAAATACTATTTAACATTTAATAAAATATTAGGGCAATTAAATTATATAGGGCAATTCATTATTTTCCTGTCATATCATTTTATTTTCAACCTGATATGCTCTTGCAACATCATGTAGTAGTGTTTTTTGGTTTTCACGCTTTTTTATTAACGCATCTTTATCCTCTTTTTGCAGTTTTTCCAAATATTGAAGCATGGCCTAATAAGTAAAGGTTTTATCACCACAATAACAGAAAACAAAAATATATATTTTAAATCTTAACTACTTAAAAGAGTAAATAATTTAAATTTTGTAATAATTACTAGAGGTGTACCACATATTTTTGCCGGATATGATAAAATAAGTCTTGTCAGTCTACAATAAAAAGTATTCAAGATCTTACTTTCAAAAATCAATAGAAAAACTGTATGACATGGAATGACATGGGATTTGTGCTGTATGACATGGGATTTGTGCTGAAGAAGTATAGAAAAAACTAATTAAAAAAAACAAAAATTTGGCTGTAAAAACGATTTTTCCTTATACATTATTAATGCAGTTTTTTTTCCTTATACATTATTAACTGATTTTTCCTTATACATTATTAACCAGTTTTTCTTGATTTTTTTTTTTTTAAATCTTGAACACTATTTTATGTAGAATGGCAAGACTTGTTTTTTCTTCATAAACACTTATAGAACTTTAGAAAAGTTCAATATCCCGCATATCCGGCAAAAATATCCGGTACAACTCTAATAATTACAAGAAAAAAAGTACAAAAGTAAAATTACTAAAGTGAAAGTACAAAAGTGAAAGTAAAAAAACAAACATGTAAAAATGACTTTATGAGAGTTTAAGTCTAAATGTGAAAGTTCAACAATAAAACTTAGAGGAAAGTAAAAACACATACTTTAGTTTCATGTTCCTTTTTTTCTTGTTCTAATATACTTTGCTGTTCATTTTCCTCAATTTGTTGGTGCAATAATTGAGCACCCTTTAGTCTTTGTATACGTTTAACATTTTCTCTGTCTTCATATTCAACTAGGGCACGCAATCGATCATTTTCCATCAATATATCAAGCCTTTAAGGCAAAATTTAATTTCACTTTACAAAAGTTAATACATATCAAATTTGTTTACAAATTTCAATAAAATAGTAAAAATAAAAAACCTTTTCTCTTCTTCTGCCATTTCCTTTTTTATTTCAACTTTTTCAACAAGTTGCATATCGCGAATCGCATGACACTTGGCATTTATAATTACCTCATTTAGTTTTTTTATTTCATCATCTTCTTCTTCTATTTGAGCCATTGCTTTTTCCAACAAAAACTGATTTCTCTCTTTTGCTTCCTTCAAATAAACATTTGTTTCAAATTTAAGATAAAAAAAAAATTGATTTTTTTTTTTTTTGTGGGGTTAAACTTTAACCCTTTTATAGCTATTTTTTTATGTTGAGAAAAAATATATTAACAAAACAAATTATTTTTATAAAAAAAATTAAAACCATGATTATACATCATTTTTAGTACATCAAAAAAAAGTTTATATATAACTTTTCAAGTTGTTTTAGGAGTTGTGTTTAATTAAAGCACATTACCCTCCTTAGTGGATTAATGTGGGTCTACATTACACTTTTATTGTTTTTTAATGAAATGTTCCAATTCACAGTAAAAAATAACTGAAGTCATCGAGCATTTATTTAAATTATTCGATTAAAAGACCAAACATAATTTTAATGTTTTAAATACAAACATAATAGTACTTTAAAGTTTTAAATGCAAACATAATAGTACTTTATTGTTTTAAATGCAAAAGAACTTTTTTAAAGCATTAAGCTAGAATTATAAAATAAATTTTTGTTTTTATCTTTGTTAGTTGTTTCCCAAGAATGTAAAATTTTATTAAGGTTCAATTATATATTTTATTTTCTTACCACTTTTCTAAATATATAGAATAAATCATATTATAATTCTTCACAATGAATATATGATATATAAATTTGAAATACTTAAAGAGTCAAAGCATGATGAAATTATGCTTAATAACGATGATGAATGGAAGCTTAATTGTAAATTAATTTTGTGTTGTATATTAGAGATTTAACATCCTACAAAAACAAAATGTTATGTAGTCAAAATTCAATGTGCTATGCTTTAAAACTGCTACTCTGCATTATCTACTAGTTTAAATAGAAAATATAGTTTCATTACATCTTTAATGACCATCTAAATGATTCCATAGAAATGTAAGCAAACAAAAAATAATTTAGAAACAGTCTGACTTTCTATTTATACTAATTTTCATTTTAAAAACAATTATTCTTGGTTAAGTATTAGATTCCTAATGATACAATACACATTGACATATAGACACACATTACCCCAGCAGACAATGTTGCTTATAAAAAAAAAAAAAAATATGCATTTGATGTTGCTTCCTTCAAAAAATATGCAAAAAACACTGTCAGACGTACCTTTTCACTTACACCAGGAAATACATAAGGTTTATTATGATATTAAAAATTTCTTTTATTGTTTGATGTTATAAGTGTAAGTTACTTATGTAATTGAAAAAGTCATGCAACAAAACCATATTTACCATGTAATTGAAAAAGTCATGCAACAAAATAACAAAACAAAATTAATCTCTTTGAAAGGTATATTACAGGAAAATATAAATTCTTGTAAAGATACGAGTCTTGTTGACTTGTATCTGTGATACGTTAATTGTTAATTATTTGATTGTTATTTATTTAGTTTTCTGAAAAGTTTCTAGCTTTAACACAAGTGTTTGCAAAATTTGGGTTAAGGCTAGTAATAAAATTCTTCAAGATCAACTTAGATATTATCAAAAAAATGCTTCTTACATATCTAAGACACCATCCATATCATCAGGTAAAAAAGTGTTTTGGAGAAGTTAATAATGACAAAATAATTTAAAAATTTCAAACATTTTCTTATTTTTGCTGATGAAGCTTATGACAGTTAAAGTAAAGAACAACTATTATTAATTATATGGTTTGTTGCTTCAAAGTTTAATAAGGGGATTTATTAGTTTTTTAGATTGCACAAATGGTATAAGGATTATTTTATTTTATTGTAAAAATTTTTCAGATTCTTCTTTATATATCATGAATTGCAGAGTTCATTAATATGATGGTGCTAGAGCATTTGATGATCACACTAAAGGTTTGTCCTCTTGTATTTTAAATCTAAATGAAAAAGCTCCATATGCTCATTGCAACAGTCATAGACTTAATTTAGCCATTTTGTTCCTCATACAAAGTAATAACCTTGCATATTTTTGAGTGAAGAAAGGCTTATAATAGATTTCCTGGGTCTGCCCCTGCTGAGGGTAGACAACCTATACCGTCTAATTGGGGGTGAGGTAAGACCCATCAAATTTTAGGGCCCTATTGCAAATTTAAGGAATTTTTCTTTTAGCAATACCTAGCAGTAAAATTTGTAGATTTTGAGACCCTAATGACACATTTTTTGGGGAGAACCTCCAAGCCATTAGCCACAACACTGCTAAAATCTGTTTTTTGCAGACTCAAAAAAGAGTTTGCCTGAAATACTTCTTACTCAGGGCCAGTATATAAAGGGGTGGCACCTGTGGACATAAAGAGAAAAATATACTCTTAACTACCCTTATACCATATATCTTTTTATGTTGGCAAACTAGGATCTTTAATCAGAATTTTAATTTTTCTATTGGTTAGCTGGTTAATTGTGATTTTTCTATTGGTTAGCTGGTTAATTGTGATAAATTAAAAAAACAAAGTACATGCTTTTAAAATGATCCCTCAACGCTCCCTTCCCCATATGCTTTCCTATGCTATTTGAAGACCCCTTCACTCTACTAGTGTACGTACTTTATGGACGACCCCTAAAGCAATTAATACACAAAAGCATTTAAAAAAGTAATTCAATTTCAAATACAGAACTTCTAAACTAGTCAAAACTGCTAGTATTGGTTGAACAAAAAAGCTATGCAGTTCATATTTATTTAAGCATAAAATCAATTAATTGTAAAAGTGTAAAAAGGATTTTTCACAAACAATTTTGATTTGTACTAAGAGACAATCTGCAATTCCTCTATGCATACTTAACTAAATTGTTTCAAAATATTGTGGAAATTTGAAATGTCTTACAACATTTAGGAATCCTAAGAAACAAAGTAGCTGCTATTAAAAGAATCTTTATGCATGACCATTAGATAAAGGTGATAAAAAGCAACTTATTTATGATCTTGATATTTAATATTTTTTACTATAATATTAGTATATTAAAATTTAATCCATTAACTTACATTTTGCCCCTTTAATAAATTAAATACATAAAGATATTTGCTCAAGAAAAATTTAATTTACACTAAACTTCAAAATAACAAAATTTCTAAATATTTTAAATTTTAACAAACATAACATATGTGTCTTAACAAATAGAGTCATAGTACCATAATGAAATTTTTTTTGCAGAAGAAGGTTTCAGTCAAAATCTTTGAATAAAATTTTAAAACATTTTCAATTTTTATTTTAAAAACAAATTGATAAAAAAACTCCATTTAAACTAGAAAAGGCTGTTACAGTGGGGAACTCACAAGTGTGGGTGCTTATACCGGCAACACCATAAACTTCACTAATAGTAACTTAGAGTCTATTTAAATTTTCCATATTTATGCACAAATGAAATTTACTAAATTTGTGTTACAAAAAACTATTTATGTAGCCAAAAAAAAGGCAACCAAGTTCGATCCCCACAACGTCCCTGGTAGTACCTCGCTCAACTTGTTTCTCCGCCCAGCTGCCTTGTTTGTCAAGGTTTGTGTTTCGGAGTTATAGAGTTGAGAGAGGATTATAACCACAATTAAGTAGCTTCCAGGTCTGAAGTGGCCCTCTCAGCCTTGGGGAGACTAATGGTCTTACTTATGGACTTACTTATGGTAAATTACCATAAAAAAAAATCACATGCAATATGTGTTAGTTACATACAATATATATTTTACATGCAACATATAAATTAGAAGCATAAACAACACTGTTTAAACCTTATTTAAAAAAATTATACCATATTTTTCAACATTACTTAAATTGCTCACATAAAACATCAACTTGCTGCATTCAATTTTATAACTATAGAAAACAACTAAAACAAGTGTTATATATTTTTGTAATGACTCAAAATAAAAAATGAAAAAATACCTGTTCAATATCTGAAAGTTTTTCATTGCTTCTTCTATCAAGCTCCATTTGATGCATTGTCTTTTTTCTACACTCCACATCTTCTTGAAGTTTTTTCAGTTCTAATTTTTTCTTTTCATACAACGCTTTCTTTTCTTCTATAGTTAAGACACGAGCTGCATTCTTCAAAAAAAAAATTAAAAAATGTAAAATGCAGTAGGAGTGTAGTGGTAGAGCGCTCGCTTCATAAACGAGTGGTTCCGAGTTCGATCCCCACCACGTCCCTGGTAGTACCGCGCTCAACTTGTTTCTCCGCGCAGTGGCCTTGTTCGTCAAGGTTCGTGTTTTGGAGTTAGAGAGTTGAGGCAGGGTTATAACCACAAATAAGTAGCCTCCTCGTCTGTAGTGGCCTTCTCGGCCTTGAGGAGGTGAATTAAAATAAAAAAAATAAAAAAAACAATTAACTGTTTGTAAACATTAAACAACAAAAACAACCATATTAATTAAATAACACTATTAAAGGAAAGAACTTTAAAATATAGATGTCTGCACTACATTCACTTTTTTTGGACAAAGTGTAAAGAAAAAGGGTGTAGTTAAAAAAACCAGCCCATACATGACAACAGTGTTTAATAAAAGATTGATAAATGTTTTACAGTGATGGAGAATGGAATTAGGAGTAAGAAAATAGCTAGGAAAAAAAAATAAACAAGAATTTTTAGAGTACTTAGGAACAGTCACAGCGAAAGGATGAGACTTAATCAAATGACAAGTAACACGAGAATGAATTTTAGTAGATGGTACAAGAGATGCTAGGTCTTTAGAGCAGTGCCCATTATAGTATTTATAGAATAGAGAAAGAGAAGCAAAATTACATCGATGGGGTATTTGGGTTAAAGCTCACCACCTCCAATTTGTCACAGAAAAATTAAACTCAAAGAGTTGGTTATTTTTTAAAGTAATCAACAAATGATGAACTTTTATTAAGAACCAAATATGAGGTTATATCATTACCAATAAGAACTTTTAAGGTAAGATTCTCCGTTAGATTGTTAATAAAGATAAGAAACATGGAATTAAGTATAGACCTTACGGTAACCAAAAGTTACTCTAATAAAGACAAGTGTTTTCCATAGAGGACAGCAATAACACAATACATAATGCAACAAGAAATAATTGAATCATTAATATTTAAAGCATCCTCAAATATGCTATTGTAAAAAGTGTATGAACAAGACCTATGTCAGACTTTTCCAAAAGCCTTTAACATTTCAAAAGTAACAGCCCTATACTTGTCATATATAAATCATACAAATAGTAGAACCATTCTGCTATCACTGTTTGCAGCTCACCAGTACTCATCAAGATAGTCCAAACCAATTTTCAGAAAGTAAGTTATACTTAAGACAAAATATTAGAAGTTTGTTATTTAAAGACTCAAACAATTTGATAATAATTATAAGACAACTTTCAATGAGACAACTACTTGGACAATACTTATCAGATTAATCTTTAGAGTTTTTTAATCAATAAACAAGATTTTCAAAGTTTTAAAAAATACTAAAAACCGATTTTATTATAAAGAAGAAAACAAGAAATCTCTTATCTTTACTATAAAATTATATTACGTCTCCTATGTAATCTCAAGATTTTCTCCATCATAACCAGTTGCAATTTCTAAAAGTAATCATTCATTTCATCTTTTTCTAAAAAACAACACTTGAGAACAATGTGTACTTATCATACAAAGAAATCAGTACTAAAAGATATTTTGCAGACTAAAGTTGATCCCAGATAATACTAATTCTTAGATTTTATCTCAGAATATTATCTCTTGTACTATATCATTTACAAATAAAGTTCAAAAATGTATTGTTATTGGATCTGGATAAGTAGGCAACTAGAAGCTCTGTAGCAACTTGACTTTTCATATTTTTTAGTATATATATTCTAGTATACACCTAAAAACTTATTTGTTTTTAAATAGTAGTTTTATTTATTTTTTAAGTATTTTTTTAGTCTATAAAATTATTTTTTATATAATTTTTTTAACCTAAATGATATTCAGCAAACTATTTACAACATACTCGATTTTTATTTCATATTTTTAAGTCATAAAGTTGGATATATTCGAGTGAAAATTTAGGAAAAGTATTGGTACTAGAAGCAAACCATTTAGTATAATGAGGATACAAATGGCTAAAAACAGCAATACAGGTCAAAATAAAATAACAAAAAAAAAAAAAAAAGCTTATCTGCTGTTTAGAACCACCTCAATCAATTATCTGATTAAATGATGTAGTAATAAACAGCACATAAAAAAACAGTCAGATAGTTCAAACCTAGTTTCAAGACAAATAGATTAACACTGATACCTGAAGATAATGTTTACATAAGCCACCACAAAATGCAAATTGTCCTGGACTAACAGCAATTTGTCCTGGACTAACAATTAAAAAATTTCCTCTCTGAGAGTTAGCAAAACGTTCTGGAAACCTTAAAAGAAATGGCTAACTGCAAACCTTATTACAAATGGCTAACAACTAAAACTTAGTTTAGGAGTTGTATCCTCATTAAGAGAAAATCCTCATCACCATTTACAATGAAGCACAAAAAGAATAAAAAAATTCAACATTCATTACCCTGGGCAACATTCATTACCTTGGGCAAAAGCAGTAAAACATATATTTATGCCAACTGAAAGACCAAAAAAAGTTGCAAAGAAAATAAACAGAAACTTTTTGTTTACTTCCAAATCCTTTTGTCTAAGAGACCATCTACAAGACAGTAGCAGATTACAATAATTTTTTTTCCATATTTAGTTTTGAAGATCATTGCATGTAATCAACATACAACTCTTACATTTTAAATTGGAACCATACCTAATAAATTTGGTACAAGAATATAATATATTTAAAACTATATGTTAGCAATTCAACTTTTTACAATATGAAAAAATAAAACCAAAGAGCATTAACTAGATAAAATGTGTGCAACATTAATTGAATAACATGCATTGATGTTATTCACCTTGATTTGCTCCATTTAAGAGTCAAATTTTGGTGGTCTTTAGTCTATTAGAAATACTTTTATTTTTGATAAAAAATGTTTCTTGCTTGGTCTTTAAAAATTAAAACTGGATAGGATTAGATAGAATATACACAACTTTTAAATACTATATCATACACGCCATAGATATCAATTTGCTTTAATGAGCATCTTAGAGTCAAATTATGTTCTTTGTAAAAAAAAATTTGACAGTACAAACTGCTTACTAACTGTATTCAACTCTTTGACAACCTCTATTTGAAATATCTTTGCATTAATTTATTAGAGCTTTAGTTTAATTTCTACAAATTGGACTTTAACTACAACAACAGCATATATCACAATAGTGTTTATCTCATAATAAAAAAATCTATTCAAAATACAAATAAAAAATATCTATATGACAAATATTTTTCAAATCGTCATTAAAACTTCAAAAGAAAAGTATCAATAGCTACCAACGTGCTAAAATCACAAAATTGCCCTAAAATTTATAAACGTAAATGTTGCTAAAGTAATTAAAATCTTATGATTCTTTCTACTTTATAGAAGTACCTTGTTTCTACGGGTAAAGGTTTTGTTCACCAAACTTTTACCCAAAGAAATAAGGTACTTATATACCTTTACCCTTGTGTTTTAGAGTTAAAGAATCGTAAAAATTCAGCAACAATAAAAAATAAAAAATGAGGAACCTCTCTAGCCTCAAGTGGCTGGGGTCAAGAATATAGTAAATATCTACAAATAAAAAAATGTAACTAGTGAAGTAAGACTTTTTTTCTATGATATTAGTATCTTTATAAAATCTTAAACACAAATGATTCAAACTGTTAAATCTTTAATTTGTGGATAATTCTTATATTTTTCATTAAAATGCAAAACTAAAATTGAAATGTTTAGGGCTTCCATTTCAAACATGTTCAGGTTCAAATGTTTGAACTTTTACCATTTTTTAAGAGGTTTGAGTTTGAACTTTTTTCTTTAAAAATTTGAACATGTATATACATATATCAAAATTTGGTTGTTTATTATCATTTTTAACAGTTAAACCAAAATCTTTTTTGACTTTTTTAGACAGTTTTTGTTACTCTTAATTTATTGTGAAATAAAATTTATAAATGCAACACTTTTAATACAAATTTTAATACAAATTGAATATGTAAACAAATGATTTAAAACACAAATTTCAAGTTTTAAGTTTAAAACAGTTACGTTACATATTTTTAATTGTTAAAGAAATCCCATAAAATAGATCGTTAAAATTTCTGAATTTAAAAAAAAAAAAGATTAGCTAGTATAGCTTTGACAAGCTAGTAAAAGTTTTAGTTGTACAAAGTAAAAAGTATGGAAAAGTTTAAAGATTTAAGCACAACTAAAAGATGCATGGGGTTATTTATAAGTTATTACCGAGTTTGGGGTTATTTATAAGTGCATGGGGTTGCTGTTATTTATAACATGGGTTTATTTATAACATGGGGTTATTTATAAGTTATTACCGAGTTAAATTTATAAGTTATTACAGAGTTCAAATTAAAAACTCTGTAAAATTATTCTTAAAATAATTGGCTCAACAAAAACAGTTGTTACAAGGCATTTAAAAGCAAAACATAAAAGTGAAATTTTTTAATGCAATAACTCTGCGCCCAAAGCGGCAGCAAACATTCCTGCTGTTAAAATACTGCAATTCTAAAGATTTTTCAATGATTATGAAATTCGGAAATTTTAAGTTGACTATCAGCTGTTGATGGAATCAGCTTTCATGCCATTACTCGAGTGAAAATTTGTGATCAGCATATTGTGCCCAGGGATACCAAATCCCTCAAAGTCCTCAAACCCTTTGTTTTACTTTAAAATGCGGTAGTGGTGTAGTTGTAAAACACTCGCTTCATAAGCAAGAGGTTCCGAGTTTGATCCTCACCATGTCCCTGGTAGTACCACGCTCAACTTGTTTCAGCCTTGTTTGTCAAGGTTCGTGTTTTGGAGTTATAGAGTTGAGAGAGGGTTATAACTACTATTAAGTAGCCTCCTCGTCTGTAGTGACCTTCTCGGCCTTGAGGAGGTGAATATATATATAGAAAAAAAAAAAAAAAAAAATTGCATTCTGAAATTGTGATTGAATTTACAAGAAAAAGAGTTCATGAAGATAATACACTTATAAGTCAACTTGTTAAATATAGAATAATTGAAAGAAGAAACATTCATTTAATTCATCTTATGAAGTACTTTTCAAATCAAAATGACTTAAATAAAGATAACCAATTTGGCAACAAGATTAAAAAAAGACAATTACTAATCTTGTAACTAATCTCATTCAGTAATTATTTCTAACAATACCTCTGATGATGACAAGAAAGTAAATACTGATAGTAAAAAAATAACCTAAAAAAGATAATCAGAAATGAATTGAATTTAGCTTAAGAACTCAAGCTTTTTATTGAACAATCAGACACTGAAATGAAATTGGATCATCAAGAAATTGGAACAAAGCTTGTTCAAAAGGAAATGACTGTTTTTGAAACCAGCAAAGCTAGACTCAAGTATTTAGATTTATTTTCAAACAATTCCTTCTAGATACGTAGAAGCTAAGAGGGCTTTTCCTAATTTTGAAATTTTTGCTACTAAAACAAGAAGTTCTTTAAATGACAAAATTTTAGATGCACCAACTTTTTTAAAACAAACAATGAAGATAACTCATTGATATTATTTACTTTGTTTTACTTTTTTACAAACTAAAAAAAGCAAATAGATAACCAAATTGACTGAAAACTAAAACACTATTAAAGAAAGTTATCATCCACATAAATATTGTATTAGCCGTTTTCAAGAAATTTTTAAGGTATTCATTAAATTTTAATGTTTTTATGTTGATTTATGTTTTTATTTTTTATTAAAATATCTTTTATATAAACTCTTAAATGACTTGATAATGACTAACACAAAATTTATATGGATGATAACTTTCTTTATCAGCATTTTAGTTTTCAGTTACTGTTTATTCAACAATCTAATACTCACTTTGATTCTGTTATACTCTTCAGATGATAAAACCACTGTTTTTCCAGATGGATCTTCTCTGCGTACCCTAAAGAAAATAAAGTTTAATATTTACCAGACTAAATTATTAACTTTGTACTAAAAAGTAAGAAATTTTATTACTATAATAGTTAAGTTGTGCATAACCAGGTAACCAATAAGTTAGGGTTCCAGCCCCCTGACCTGCCTAAATATTGAGCTTTTTACAAACCTGGCCTCAGCCCTGCCTAAATATGGATCTTTTCACAAACCTGGCTCCAGCTGTGGCACAAATATAAGATTTAGCTTGAGTTGATAGCCGGAGTTAAGAAAAAACTTCTAATAAATTATGTATTATAAACTTATATCTATATTTACTATCTAATAAATATTGGCATTAAATATGGATACAAACATGTGTGTTTGTATTTATTTACATGCTAGCAAACAAATAGATTACACATTTATACACAATTTATTTAGTTTAGGGAGAGTTGAAATTGAACACCTTAGAAATAAATATTTTTTAGCAAAAGATGGTTCAATTAAAAAAAAAGTAATTTTATCAAAACAAACAGATACAAAACTTTTGATCATAGTTTGACTTAATTAATTGCACTATAGTTAAAAATTAAATTGGTTTTGTCAAGACACCGTTTTGTTCATTGATTATAAGATGAATGTGTAGTGTGACTCCAAAAGTAAACAAAAAAAAAACCATTATCTTTGATGTCTTGAGACAGAGATTAGGAATAATGAGCGTATGGGACAAAATTTGTGAAATAAGATTAAGGTGGTTGGGTACGTTGAGCAATTAAGATGCAGATGATTTGGATATCATCATGTAGAAAGATTGCAATAAATTGTCTTAAATTATTTTAGGTCAGCATCAGTTTGGCACAAATTTTACAACACCATAACAACACCATAACAACTTAAAACAAGGTTGGCTAAAAGTTGTTACCTCATACACTATTAAAGCGGCACTTAAGTTACTATGATGGTTTTCCATAATATTACATTTTTTTATACTCATACAAATAAGATTGTGAGAATTAAAAAAGATTATTTTTTGAGTTATATATAAAAAAAAAAAATCAATATGTAATAAGAGTTTTTATTTGGTATAACATTCTTGTTTAGTAACTCTGTTTTTAAATAAAAGTTTCTTATGTAATTTGAAGAATCATTTTTAGTTTTTTCATTTTTTCATTAAAACTTTTTTGTCTGTATATTATGCATGTTTAAATGCTAACATGCCAATCATGTCCATGCATTTTACAGTGAACGTGACAAAAACAACTTTAACTTTTCCATAAGGCAACTTATCTGATTCAGCAAGCTTGTTCCATGATATAATCTGCATTCTAATACAGTCCTACCCATCTACTACATTGAGTTTACAATATCTTACACATATTTTATTACATGAATAAAGACTAAAGTTTAAAAATAAAAGTATACCTCAGTTTTCGAATCATATCTTTAGTTATAACTTGAATCACTTCAGGTTTTTTCAGAACTTCTACAAACAGTACAAAACTTATGAAACATTATATTTAATATTCATATTTAAATATTAATATTAAATAAAGTTATCAAACTTAAAAAAAAAAAAATAACAATAAACAAAAAAACCTCATAAGTATTTGTCAGGCTCATTAAAGCAATTCATACATGTAGAGCTGTTGAAATGCTAATACATAGTTATGAAGTGCTTATACATAGCCTGTGTATAGTATATAAAGTTTATAGCCATTTACAGTTTTCATGTATGTACCAAGATAATTTGATTTTTTAACAGTAAAAGTGCAATCAATTAGGGCTTCAATACCAATGTAACATAAGTCTTGAAGCCCTAATAGATTGTAC